GAAAGAGGCAGTGTTACAATAGCGGAAGTCATTCGACACTGGGAGCATATGCGCTGGAGTTTATAGAATGATCGAGGAACCCCATGAATATCCCAGTATTTGCTAGATGCCCTGTTTTTTTAGTATATAAGCCGGAGATAGATTGAAGAGAAATAATTGATAATTGAGCCAAGCGAGCGGTAGTGACGGTAATATAAAGTGTGTGTGTGTTTTGTGGAAATTCTGTGCATTGCAAAGTTGTATCGAAAAAGAATAAACTAATTTTAATTAAGAAAGAATTTGTATCGCTGAAGTTTCTCGGAAAGAATTTCTACGGGAAATTAACAAACAAGCAGGTATGCAACAATACCAAGACATGAATAATATAGTTTCATAGTCATATTATAATAATATCAAGCCATAAATAATATTGTTTTATAGTCAAATTGGCATAAAATTAAGACATAACAATGTTGCAGAATATGCTATAACAGAGTAGTATTTGTCTGCTATCTAGTATATATATAGTAATATTACGCTTTCAGTAAAATTCACTAAAAGTAACGAGGTGCTCTGTTTCCCTTTTAAAGCGACAGGGGGAAGAGACATGTGGTGAGACTGGTTGAAACCTGCTAACGAGATTACTTACTCTCAAACTAGAGGAGAAATTTTGTGTACAGGGTTCACACACTTGAAAATTAGGCTCAATCAGTAATAAATAGAAAAATGGGGGATCTCTTTTACGTCTTATATGCTCTTATGGGCTAATAGTAAACTTAACCGAAAATGTATTTATAATTTTTTGACGGATGCCTCTTCCGTTGAATTTCAGGCCTATAACACCATGACAACAATTAAGTAACTCATGTTTTATACTAACTACAAGACACAAACTTCCTACAAAAGAACTGGGAAGGTATTTCCTGAAGCATCCTTGGAAGTTATCGAAAATATGGTCACACTTACTGAATATGAAATACTGTAACCGTGACGACGTATATTATCAAATGGTTAAACCTTGTTTTGTAAGTATATATAGTAAAACATATTAAATATGAGTAATTTCGTGTAAATACTAACATTGGAAAAATCTCGGCATATTAATTTTGTAAAAACCGACTACTTTCTACAGTGGGCTGAATCTGAGTACGTTATATGACAACGAGTATGGAGCATCATCATGTCGTTGTCCACATTCGGTCATCCTAAGAGCGTGCATCGTCAAAATAGCTATGCAGCATAGTTGCCATTGTCAAAGGCTCCGTCCACTACACAATCAATGCTTTCATAATACATTTAGTGTGCGAGAACGATGGTTTCCAGTGACCATTTCAACTGTCTGATTGTATGGGTGTTGTGTCAGGCCACTTGACCGATATTTCTTGTTATGAAACAGCATTCATTCTTTAGCTCCTTCAGATTAAAGGGTTAAACAGGAGATACGAATGGAAGCCTAATCTTGGTCTCATTTCCAGACAAAAATGAATATTGATTATGTTACGTACTGTTGCCTGGGTCACGCGGATGTCTTTAATCACTGACCTTTGTGTTCATGGATTCTCGTCAGTTACAAGACACCGTACATTGTTTACCACGAATTCTGGGTGGTCCTCCAAGTTGATCCATATTCCTTTGTTTTCCAGAGCCATTAAGTGCAAAGGATATTTCTGTCCTTGAAATTCTAAACCCCAATCTGAACACACCTCTATGATATGAACGTACGAGTATTTTGCGTCATAAAGGGCTGTTACATAACATTCCCAAGAGCAGTAAATTGTCGGTGGCATGACACTTACTACAGTATGCCAAATAATGTCTAAATGTACTTCTGATACACTCCATTCCTCCACGACTATATATCATCTGTGTTTGCCAGCTGATTTGCATATTCAAAATCGTTTTAATATTTAGTTATTAATATTGCATTTAATCTTACACTTTAATCGAAAAATCTAAAGAATTCTCTGCCATCCTCTTGCTTCATTTCACTAAAACAAAAGTTTAACTTCAGAAACATCATAAAGGATGACTTCAAAGGGGGCAACATTATTGCAAATAGATACTATTATCTACCTGGAAATGTTGGTACTATGGCACTCCAGAAAACTTTGAAATGAAGAAACCTCTACCAATTGGTTGATGAAAAACAAAGCAACAAGAAAATGTGCTTATTTTTGAATACTAAAAAAGCCAAATTATTAGTATTTGACAGCTACAGATATTGTCTAAAGTTATATATTAAATGAAATACTAAAGCAAATACCTATGATGTCATTGTGTCAAGGGCCTACAGTTGTTATACCTTGTGTTTTTAATTGGCTCTCAAGATATTATTTTATTTATTTTATTTTGGTATTTCTTTCCCTTTTGTGGAGAAATGTATCGGGAAAACGGTCTTACCAAAGTTCCTCAGTTCTTTAATCTAGCTTATTGTAACATCAGGTTATGCCCTGCAGAATTTCCTATAGATGACAAACGACCAAAGACCCAGTTCTTTGGCAACTTCGAGTGAATCACAAGTTGAGCCCAAAAGGATAAAGTATTAGGAATATCTCAAGACAAGGAAACAACATCTTTAAAAACAATTATCGTGGAAACAGTTCATGAAAGGGACTCCTTGAAAAGCAGAAGGTTCGGTAGAGAACAAAATCAAGGATCTGCAGTAGTTTACTATTGTGGATT